CCAAAATTCCCTTCCCCCCCCGGGCTTAAAATTGGGCCCCCCCAAAAAAAAAAAACCCCCAGTCTCCGGGGGGAAAAAAAAAACCCGGCCCCCCCCCTGCCCGGGAAAGGGGAAAAAGGTTTTTTTTTCTCCCCCCCCCCCCCCCCCCCCCCCGCAAGGCTATCTTAGGCGAACCACGTCCCGTAGAGCTCGTTCTCGTTGTACGAGCGCACCCTCGCCCGCGGCGTGCTGATGCTCGGGGTGCCGCTGCTGATGCTTGTCGTGCTGCTGCTGCCCAGGCTAACGTCCCTCCCGCCGGCCCCCTTCAGCCCCTTCGCCAAGAACGACGACGGCAGTCCCGAACCGCTGCCGCTGCCGCCGCCGCCGCCGCCGGTCGTGTTCGCGTTTGTGTTCGCGTCCGTCACCGCCGCCGACTCGCCGCCGCCAACGCTGACGCTGGCGCCCTTCACCGCGCCCTGCCCGTGGATCCCGTACATGGACCCCAGCCCCTGCGCCCTGCGCGCCGACTCCTCCCGCATCATGCCCAGCGTCCGTATCGGCCCCCCCGGCGAGGCCGCCTTCCTACCGCCGCCGCCGCCACCGCCCGGCACAGATGCCGGGGGAGGCGGGGGCACGACGACTCCACCAACAACCACGGTGCCCCTGCTGGTGGCCGCCTCGGTGTCGATTCGCGGCGGGCGGCGGACGCAAGCGGCAGCAGGAGCCGCCGGCGTTCCCCGCCCCCTGTCGTCGCCGCCGCCAGCGGCACTAGGAGTGGTGGCAGTAGCAGCGGTCGCCGCTGCCGTTCCTGGAGGAGGCCGGTTCTCTGCGTTCCCGTCGTCGTCGTCGACGACCTCTCTCCCTTCGCAACTCCCGCTGTAGTTGCTGCTGCTGCTGCTGCTGCTGCTGCTGCTGCTGCAGCCGCTGGCGGGGGCTACGGTGGGTCCTCCGACGACTCCCGCCTGCCGCCGCCGCCGCTGCTGCTGCTGCTGCTGCTGCTGCTTCTGCTCCGTGGCCGAGAACTGGGTCGCCGCCTCCGCCGATCCCGTCAGGGCCGCCGCGGCCGCTTTCCCGTTGTCGAGCGTCATTG